GTTATTTTTTATATATATATATATTTTACTCGTATTTTATTTACATTAAAATTAAATTATTTTTTAAATATTCCAGGTAGATCATTTTAGTTTTTCAAAATTAGATACATTTAAATTACGATATCTTATAAATAATACTTGGCAAAAAGAAGACAATGCACCTATTTTCTTTTACACTGGAAATGAAGGTAATATTGAAACTTTTGCTCAAAACACGGTAAGTTTGAACAACAAAGTATTAAGATTTTAAATATTTTATAAGTATTCCTTATATGTCTGTAATATTACCATTATATTTTACAGGGCTTTATGTGGGAAATAGCACCAGAATTTAAAGCTTTATTAATTTTTGCTGAACATCGTTATTATGGAGAGTCTATGCCTTATGGAAATAAATCTTATGCAGATATTAGTCATTTGGGATATTTAACATCTCAGCAAGCTCTTGCAGATTATGTTGACTTGATTGAATATTTGAGATCTGAACCACAATACAAGCATAGTCCTGTTATAGTTTTTGGTGGTTCATATGGTGGTATGCTTAGTGCTTGGATGCGTATGAAATATCCTCATATTATACAGGGGTTAGTACAAAGGCTAGAGCTTTTGCACGAATAGTTACTTCAGATTTTAGTAAAGCTCATTCAAATTGTCCAAAACTTATTCGTAAATCATGGAGTGCAATTACCAACATAACTTCAACTGGTAATAAATTAAGTTATTTACTTATTTGCATTAATTGTAGTGTATTAAATTCCTCAAATTATTATTCTGCATTTATGATAGATAAAGGAAAAGAGTGGTTATCAGATGATTGGAAATTATGTCAACCATTAAAAAATGCAAATGATGTCAAGCAATTTAAATCTTATTTAAAAGACATTTATACAAATCTTGCTGTAGTGAACTATCCATATAAAGCTAACTTTTTAGCACCACTACCTGCTTACCCTGTTAATGTAAATATTTATATATTTAACTATTTCATTGCTTTATTTAAAGAAATTTAAAGTTATTTGATTTCTATTACAGGCTGTATGTAAACATTTAACAAATGAATCACTAACTGGAACAGAGTTATTAACAGCAGTACATAAAGCAATTAATATATTCACCAATTATACAAGTGAAACAAAATGTTTAAATTTAAATAATTCCATACCTCAATTAGATGCTATTGGGTGGCCTTTCCAAAGTTGCACAGAAATGGTGATGCCAATATGTTCAGATGGAATAAATGATATGTTTGAACCTAACCCATGGAATTTAGATGAATATAGCAAAGATTGTATAAAACAATATTCAGTGAAACCACAATCAAACTTGGTGTGCGAACAATATGGATGTAAAGATTTATCAACTGCAACAAATATTGTTTTCAGGTATATATCAAGAAATGATTTTAAGTTTGCTTAATTCCAAATAAAAAATTTGTGTTTTATATGTGGTATAAATATTAATAATTAGCATATATTATAGTTATTATTACTAATACAATCTTTTATTCATATATGTTTTATGTTTTATTCAGTAATGGTTTAGTGGATCCATGGTCCAGTGGTGGAGTGTTACAAAATTTATCTTCTTCAGCAATAGCAATAATAATTCCAGAAGGTGCTCATCATCTTGATTTAAGGAGTAGTGAACCTAATGATCCATATAGCGTCATTTTAGCACGAAAATTTCATCGCTATTTTATTAAGCAATGGATCAAAGAATATCGTGAAAAAGAAGAAAAACATTACTAGTTAAGTGTTATTTGTTTTATTGCTGTGATAGATAATATGGATAAAATATATATTAAAAATGTGAATTAAAAAACAGATACATATGTTTATAATTATTTATTTTTATCTCGTAAATTATATATAAAAAAGCATAATATACACACAATAATAATTACAAAGATCTAGTATCCTTAATTGCTTTAAGTAATAGCTAAATGGAATTGCAAATAATACAAGAATATTATCACAGTACTTAAAGAATGTATATGTTTTAATAAATATTTGAAGTACAGATAAAACTCTAAAATATTTTCGATAGTAATTAATAATGAATAGTCGAAATGCATTTTCAATTTTATTTTGTTATAGTAATACGTTTTCCTTACTATTCATTAGTTTGTAGACTCGAAGTGATTAAACAAAGATTAGTAGATATTTCCTAAATAATGAAGTTATTTTTTGCTTCAAGTAATTATTGTGAATTATTTTAACGAAAAAATGCTATAGAAATACTGCAGTATTATCATTGTGCTACAAAATTTAGGTTTATCAAAATATACATAAATGGCAATGTAAAAAGACATAAGACTGCTGACTAGTTTTTGATAAAGATTCATCTCTCATTCTTCTCAGTTACATTTATCTCTAATACTCTTATATCGAGCAACATTTTATTTCATATCACACAGGTACAGCACATATTTTCTTCTCTAAAATCTTTATACCAATTTTCTATTTAATAGTAACTTATATTGCATGCTATTAAATATGAAAATGTAGTGTTTTTATGAATTTGTATTCATCGTTAATATAAATTTCATCTAATATTTCACAGAAATCATAAAGAAATATAAACACATAAACATAAAACTTTAATAATATAGTACTTCATTTGAATAGTTTCAATTTGTATTAGATATGAGAATTACTTGAGTGGAAATAATCGTAAGTTTTATGAAAATTAGTTCTATTTTTTGCCACGTAATAATTAAAATGATTAAGCAAAAATTAAATAATTTGTTTGTGTTGCATAATTATTAATTATATATTTATATAGCACAGAAATTGCAGTTTTCGGTAAATTGATTTTTTTTAATTAGATATTGTCCTATTGCATTGTATTATATATTATTTGCTACGACGCAATGTTTTAAAAGAGTTTAAGCATACCTAATTCAAAGTAAAAGTAAATGTACTCCTATAATTACAGAAAATTCTGATTTTCTGATATATATCATATAAACAAAAGTAAATTAGAATAACTTTTTAAAAAAATGCTAAAAAAGGTACTTGGTGAAAAATAAATATTTCTATCAACATTATAGTTTAAACATAATTTTAGTGTGGTGTACGCCTGTGTGCTGTGGTTGGCCTAGGAACCCCGGATCGGCCTCTTACTTTTTTTGGTTGCACGAAAGTATTGCCGATTCCATTATTATAAGAAAGATATATATTTGACATATCAGGTTGAATTTGCTAAAAAAAAAGAGAAGTATTATAGCAGTTATAACTTTTGTTTACTAAATACAATAGTATTAATTTTAAAAATTAATATTTTGGTACATTTGACAACGTACATCTTTATTACTTCCTAGTGGTGGTGTAGCTTGTGCTTTACGCATATTGTTACCCGTATATGCTACACATTTTAATTGCCATTCTCCAATGTCTTCATCCCAGTGTACATATCTCTCAATCATTGTCTAAAATAAAATTAATATTTTAATTTTTTTAATGTGTATATAAA